CCGCTCACTAGTCTTTTCTTTGTTGGCACTCAAAGTCAGAATGTTTGTTAGGGTGGTTGTCCTTGCCAATCCCTGTATGTTCGTTTGTTTCCGTTCACAAGTGCGACAAGACCGTTCTGGAAGTGAATGCCTTTTAGATGTGGAGAAGTCAGGATGAATTGCAGCATTAGTTCACATGGGACGCTAACAGTGTTGCCGTCGAAAGCGGAGATTCAAATTCTTGAAGATTGGAACTAGAAAATTGATAAGTCTCCTCTCAATGGACCAAACAGTAACGCTTGGTGGTAGAGCGGGATGGAAGGCCTGTATACCGGCTAAAACTGGGTGATTGCGAGCGATAAGGCAGTGATCGGAAGTGCTCAGTGGAGAAGATGGTTCAACGGTATAAAAATCGGGACGAGGTGTTTCAGGCTTCCCGGTTGCTGTCAGAATTTAGAGTATCCAAGTGATCGCGAAAATTTTCTCTCGGTTTGATATGCGCCAATTACGCAAGCTACTTGGAGCGTTAATCAGTTTATTGGGACAATAAATGATGCTTAAACGGCTGTCACCCCACCATTCTATCGAATTCGAAAACCTTCCCGAAGACGTTACTGGAAACGAAGTAAAAAATCCGCAGGTGTCTCATCACTCCGACACTGCTCAGTTTTTCTTGTGAATGCTCACAGGCATGTTCACAACGTTTCCGCTGGTCAGTTTACTAAAGCTCGGGTGTATGTTCCATCACTCGATGCCTAAACCAAGCAGTCTTGTGAAGTGAAAATTTTCAGGTTCCTCCAACCGGACAAAGGTTTCGTTTTTTTGATAATTATATCAGCTGACCATTTGTCAGGAACGTGGGACCCAATCTACCAGACGGACAAAAATGCATACCACATAGGACACCAGCAAACAATATCCCAGTTGAAGAACAAGTCACCTGAAACTTTCGGTCCGTATGTCTGAACTATTCCACCACCGAATCCGAGCCATTTGGAACCAAAACATCTGGAATGTTATATTTTACCCAAATTTCACTGGCTTAGTGTGCCACTTGTATTTATATTACGTGTGTAGTTCACCGGACGTTCGTTTATATCCCACTAAGACAGGTTTAACATATTTGAAGGTTTTTTAAAATAATTTTGCAATAAATTGTTGGCGCGCTTCACTAAGTTGTTTTCTTTCGGAGCTAAAAGTACCGCAATGTCAGACGGCATTTTTGTTACCATATGGTTAACCAGATCATCTGAGAGGCGTAAATTTTTAAAATAATTTTGCAATAAATTGTTGGCGCGCTTCACTAAGTTGTTTTCTTTCGGAGCTAAAAGTACCGCAATGTCAGACTGCATTTTTGTTACCATATGGTTAACCAGATCATCTGAGCAGGCGTAAATAAAGATACTAAATCGTTCAACTGTACCGCCCTTTCGGTGCCCGGTTGCCAAGCCACCTGAAGGAAGTACGAAAGCTGGGATACTGGTAGGCCGCCGAAGCGTAGACAGGAGAAGTCAAGATGCAGAGATCAGGTTAAAGCCACGGACCGCACTGTTTGCCTTAAAACTACGTGGGGCGAGAAGTTCGTCCACTTTTGTACCAGACGGAACTTGCTCAAAACACTACTCCATCGCGCAAGGAGTGTACACTGCCCAGTAGCTGCATAATGTGGATGAGTTCTTGAAACAAGTTCTAATAGGGAATGGCATCCCAGAGTTTTTTTATCCAGATTTACAGCTTGGAAATCGCTATTTCCGAAAAGAGGGGAGTTTTATTGAAAGAAAGGTCATATACTCACAACTAATGAACAGAAACTGACGGTTGCTCTGGACCACACATTTCAGTCGTGCAATTTAGAATTACCCTACGCACAATGGTGAAGACCTTAAGCCACCCAACCTCGAGGAACTGATTTAGCCATTGTCCATTCCCTATCAGTTCGCCTGCAATTTTGGTAACATGATAGCGACAACAAGCGTGCAGTGTGCAAGTTTGTTCTTGGGAGCAGCGAATCGAGTAGTGTTTGCGCTGGTTAACTTTGACTGGTTGATAGTCGGTGAATGCGTCAGTTGATGAGAGGAACGCAAAGTGAATTTCTGTGACCACCGTTGCACGGACCAAATTAAGTACCGTTTAGCAATAGTCATATATGTGTCTCCAGGCACCGGTCCAATTTGCTTGCCTATATAACCATTAATCTTTCGGTTATCCATAAGTGAGTTGAGAACTGTGGTTCATCACCTGGGGTTGCTCACGGCCTTAAAGGTGCCTCCCCCTCCGGTTTATTTCTTTGAGTTTACGTGGGGTATAGGATGTTCATGTGGATGCGTGGCTCAAGCGGTTAGAGCGAATTTACTGACCGGTAGGTCCATGGTTCGAAACCGACCTCTCCCTCTCGACTTCCCCTGTCTAGGCTTGGGCATCCTGGCAGTACCCCAGCCCTCTTGCTTCCCTCACGTGGCATGGCAGCTAGGCATAGGAAGGGTGCTACAGCTAAACGGTTTTTTTACGCGGGTCAAAGCGAACCATGCGGAAGTATTTTTAGTGTGCGGTGCGAATTGACCTAGTTCGACATGACAAGCAAATCCGTAAGCGGACGCAGCTTACGTTGACAAACAGACCACCATTGGCATCCCAAATAATGGATGAACAGACAGTAGAGTATCTTCTATGTGTATCTCATAATATCTATGACGCGGAACCCAACAGCATGGATTGCACGATATCCGTTGATCACTCTTCATTGGGTTGACCTCCAAACGATTGCTCCCATTTCCCTTACGCATTCGAACACTTTGAAGCATCCAGTTAAGCTATTCTGGATAAGATGAGAGAGCAAGCCTTATGTGCGCAAAAGGCCTTTCCGTCATAGCACTTGTCCTGGACTCCCCATCCTCGTAAATGTTCTGTCTATTTTTTCTAATTGTCGTTTATATTTATTGTACCCATAAGGGTATGCGGGCGAACGAACAGTTTAAGGATGCTAACTTCTCTATTATGCATCCTCATAGTTCCGACCAGCTGGATTAAGGGGCACATTGCTTGGAGCTTCATAAACGATTAAACCCAGTTGTGCGACTGGTTTGATTGCTCAGTTTACGAGAATCGCCGGACCTGATGGGATAGACAATGGTTATCGGAAAGTTGTATGGGTTGTAACGACGCAGATAAATACAGCGTATTTGTTAGACACGCGAGTGGATTTGTTTCAGGTGAGTCCACAGTGTAAGTAATGGCATGTATTAAGAATTCATGACCCTTTTTCCAACAATGTCTTCCATTGTACCGTCTGAGAGTGTAATATCGAATTCCTTTTGAGAATTGCATCCCTTAACTTTGCAGTCTATTTCTTTTTAGCGATGGGCTTCCGGATACCCTAAATTATTTAACACAGTGGTCATCATCTTACAGTTTTTATAGGGACGAATGACTTCAAAAATTGCCACTGTTGCCAATTTGGCAGTTCATGTCTTTCAGCAGCACTCGATTCGGTCCGGTTTATCATCCGCAACTCAGTTTAACATAAGTTCAGTTGATCTTCCGGGTGGTGGACCGCCCAATGGACGATTTGAGACCTCGTTTTGATAATTATATCAGCTGACCATTTGTCAGGAACGTGGGACCCAATCTACCAGACGGACAAAAATGCATACCACATAGGACACCAGCAAACAATATCCCAGTTGAAGAACAAGTCACCTGAAACTTTCGGTCCGTATGTCTGCACTATTCCACCACCGAATCCGAGCCATTTGGAACCAAAACATCTGGAATGTTATATTTTACCCAAATTTCACTGGCTTAGTGTGCCACTTGTATTTATATTACGTGTGCAGTTCACCGGATGTTCGTTTATATCCCACTAAGACAGGTTTAACATATTTGAAGGTTTTTTAAAATAATTTTCCAATAAATTATTGGCGCGCTTCACTAAGTTGTTTTCTTTCGGAGCTAAAAGTACCGCAATGTCAGACGGCATTTTTGTTACCATATGGTTAACCAGATCATCTGAGCAGGCATCCTGGCAGTACCCCAGCCCTCTTGCTTCCTTCACGTGGCATGGCAGCTAGGCATAGGAAGGGTGCTACAGCTAAACGGTTTTTTTACGCGGGTCAAAGCGAACCATGCGGAAGTATTTTTAGTGTGCGGTGCGAATTGACCTAGTTCGACATGACAAGCAAATCCGTAAGCGGACGCAGCTTACGTTGACAAACAGACCACCATTGGCATCCCAAATAATGGATGAACAGACAGTAGAGTATCTTCTATGTGTATCTCATAATATCTATGACGCGGAACCCAACAGCATGGATTCCCCGATACCCGTTGACCACTCTTCATTGGGTTGACCTCCAAACGATTGCTCCCATTTCCCTTACGCATTCGAACACTTTGAAGCATCCAGTTTAAGCCATTCTGGATAAGATGAGAGAGCAAGCCTTATGTGCGCAAAAGGCCTTTCCGTCATAGCACTTGTCCTGGACTCCCCATCCTCGTAAATGTTCTGTCTATTTTTTCTAATTGTCGTTTATATTTATTGTACCCATAAGGGTATGCGGGCGAACGAACAGTTTAAGGATGCTAACTTCTCTATTATGCATCCTCATAGTTCCGACCAGCTGGATTAAGGGGCACATTGCTTGGAGCTTCATAAACGATTAAACCCAGTTGTGCGACTGGTTTGATTGCTCAGTTTACGAGAATCGCCGGACCTGATGGGATAGACAATGGTTATCGGAAAGTTGTATGGGTTGTAACGACGCAGATAAATACAGCGTATTTGTTAGACACGCGAGTGGATTTGTTTCAGGTGAGTCCACAGTGTAAGTAATGGCATGTATTAAGAATTCATGACCCTTTTTCCAACAATGTCTTCCATTGTACCGTCTGAGAGTGTAATATCGAATTCCTTTTGAGAATTGCATCCCTTAACTTTGCAGTCTATTTCTTTTTAGCGATGGGCTTCCGGATACCCTAAATTATTTAACACAGTGGTCATCATCTTACAGTTTTTATAGGGACGAATGACTTCAAAAATTGCCACTGTTGCCAATTTGGCAGTTCATGTCTTTCAGCAGCACTCGATTCGGTCCGGTTTATCATCCGCAACTCAGTTTAACATAAGTTCAGTTGATCTTCCGGGTGGTGGACCGCCCAATGGACGATTTGAGACCTCGCAAAATTTGTCCACTCCACCAACAAGCACTACGTCCTCGCTAGTCCCCGACTTACTGCAACGCCTGTTGTCATCTGTTCATTCACTCACTCCAAAAGATGTTGGTTTTGATACGCGTTGGATTTCCAGCGCTAATGTGTATGCTGCGCCTGTAGCCTACGTTCACATTATGGAAAACGAGATTTTCTCCATGGGTATTTTCATTCTACGTCCGGGATCTCGCATTCCGCTGCATGACCATCCGGGGATGTTTGGAATCTTGCACGTAATCTATGGTTCTTTACGTTGTCGCAGTTTCACTCCTTTACGCAACGTCAAATCATCAGACTCCAATTTTCACAAGGTCGCGTTCTCCAAATTCTCCGATTCTCGGTGGCAACTGTCTGATATAATTCTCGCTCGTCCGTATCAAGATGTCGTCATGACAACTGAGAGTCAAGCTCATCTTCTTTCACCAATTGATGGGAACTTCCACGAAATTTCAGCAGTTGATGGACCAGCCGTATTTCTTGATATTCTTTCCCCTCCTTATGACCACGATTTGGGCACGCGAGAATGCAGATTCTACAAAGAGGTTGTCTTACCAAGTCCCATCTGTGGTACCACAAAACACCATGATGATTTCCCAATCCCCTGTGCTGGTGACGCTACGGTAGGTGATACAGGCACATCAGATAGTGACATCAGTTCCGGACCTAGTGGACAGGTTTACACGAACCTAAATGCACAGTCCTCTATTATTTACTTGGTGGAAACCAACCAACCCAAAGACTATTGGTGTGAGTCCGCTGAGTACTCAGGACCCAGCGTGGTTTGATACTTTTTTCTTATGTTCTTCCAGTGCATTTGTTCCTTCTTTCGAGGTGCATCTTCCAGGACACTTTGTTATGGTTTACTCAGCTCAATCATGTTCACAATTAACCATTAATTCGATGTGTCATGTTCATCTGGCTTCACAACATTACCGTAGCCATTGTCTACGCCTTTTTGAACCAATGATCTCTTGAATTGTTCTTTTTTTGCTGGGCGCAAGGGGACGAGGAAGTTGACCTCATTATCTTACAGGGTTTTGTTTTCTACTTTCGATTCAGAATAACCCGTTTGCAATAACTGTTGCCATGCGGAAGGCAAATCTCTAAGTCGAAATTTTGTTTAACGGGTCCGACTGACTGCTCAGACGAAATCATTGGTAAAAAGAGCTAATCATTCAGCTGTGACACCCTTTCGGTGCCTAGTTGTCATACCAACCGAAGGAGGCAGGAGTGCTGGGATACTACCAGGTTGCCTAAGCCTAGACAGGAGAAGCCGAGATGCAGAGGTCGGGTTCGAAGCACGGACCTTCTGTTCAGTAAATTTGCGCCCTAACCGACGTCTCTTACTTCCATTTGTTTGCTGATGCTCATCCCCTGTGTCTTTGAGGCCGCGCTACACATTTCGAGGTAACCTTTTCGTATTAGTATCTCAAAACTTCATTACTTATACCTCTCCACTAATGTTCTCCCGAATAGTCAGTGTCAGGTGAGAGTCCGATAGCTCGTAACTGCAAATGAGATAGAAAAAACAATTGGGATAGCCAGTCACGTAACTATTCTGGAAGCACCAGGCTTACGAAAAAGAGAACTCGTACGCCTATTTCTTGCACTACTTTCTATTTTCCCTAGACAGTACGTTGCTGTTGCACTTGTGGATTGCGTGTTGACCGTATTCCGTTCCGTAGCTTAACCGTTATGCTAACTTTCTGTCAAAACATCTTACTTAGAAATTCTTCGGGTGGCGCATGAATCACTGTGCGAAATGAAAGAGACTATTTTGGCAACATAGATACTCCTACTGCGTCACTCACTCGTGACGGTGTCGCTATCTGGACGGACAATGTAAGAATGGTTTCAGAACAGCGCTCAGCCTTGAATTTATTGCATTCATTAGTGGTTCTCCGTGTTGCGTCTAGAAACCCTACCACAGCTGTTTTTCGAGTAGATGGCTAATAGTAAACACCTAGCAATATTTCGTTCAGGTCAATGATCGTAAGAGGTATTCACTACGCCTTTATGACGGAAATGCCAGGAAAAACAAAACCGACTACCGGTGATGATCATTGAAGAGATACTCTTGATGATTGTGACTGATCAGTTAAGGCAACTGTCGATAAGTTGTTGCACTTATGCGAGATGGAATTGTCACTGAGTTGCATTAGGGGGTGAGCTGGTCCAAGTGGTTAGAGCGCGACTGACCGGACCGGAAGGTCCGTGATTCGAACCCAACCTCTGCCTCTCGACCTCCCCTGTCTAGGCCTGGGCAACCTGGAAGTATCCAAGCCCTCGTGCAACCTTCGGGTAGCATGGCAGCTAGGCACCGAAAGGATGCTACAGCTGAACGATGAGTTGCATTACTGTTGAATCCACTTTCTGCCACCTTATTTCACAAAGCTTGGTGTCCAGTCGGGAACTCTATAGAACAGACAATGCTTCAGCATCCGAACGACAATATTCACCCTGGGAGTTCCGGCTTAATAACCGAATGACCAGTGAATATTTCATTGCCTTTTGGTGAATAGTGCAACCCTTTGACAACGATAGTGAAGAACAGCATGCCCAATGTATTCCTACATCTGAGCAGTTATAGCCACCAGTACAGACTCTAGACAATAGTACTAGTTGATTAATTTTCTCGACATCCAAAATGAATGACGACGTAGTAAAAATCGATGAGGCGGTGGTTTATGTTGTATGTCAAATTCGAGTAGAACCGAACAATCGGACATGATCGCCGAAATGGAAGGAAAGGAATAAGTGGCAGGAGCTTGTTCCCCATCACCGCGATTGGGGCTTACACCGAGGAATTTCCGTGGGTTATAGGAAGCGATTTCTGAAAATCATAATATTAGTGGAAGAACTTAACTCCTCAGGAGGTGTGCTGTCCGTTCACTCTGGCTTCCAATAAGTACACCCCCCAATCAAAAAATGAAAAGTGCAGTCAGAAAAATGCAAGGGCTATCTATCGATCATGATCCACACAATTACTTTGGTTTGAGAATTCCGCATGTTATTCACTGACCCTGGAATCGCCCTGCGTAACTGGTTAAACGAGTTTAGTCATTTTTAGGTAAGGAGGTAAGTCAATGGTTGTTTAACTTTGTTAGTTTGTGACAGCTATGGGTCACTCTGGGCGTGAGCCTTTCGACTACTATCTGAAGTCGTTCTGGAGCGACATTTAGGCTTTGGAATCATTACAAAGAGCACCTAAGTGTATTTATTAGCAAACCACTGATCACTTCGGGACAAATTATTTTAGCAAACGAAAGCTTTTTATTATAGGCATCCCTGCTACACAAAAGCCTGGACTCAGGAAATTAGAATCGAAGGACATTCAGCCTTTGATATGAAATTCCTTTTGGACGAAGGCTAAGGTAATCAGGTCTTTGGTCTTCAAATCCAGTCCAGTGTTGAACATCTGGGTCTACGAGCTGTCTACGGCCCACATCACTGCAGCTAACATTGGATTAACATCGTGGGTGTCTGGACACCGATTGCTGCACTCGATTCCAGACTTCCGACAAACCGGCTAGTCCGAAAATAAAAACAATCGTCCAGCTGTATCGCCCTTTCGGTCCCTAGCTGTCATGTCAACCAAAGGAGGCACGAGAGCTGAGGTACTGCCAGGTTGCCCAGGCCCAGGAAGGAGTAGCTGAGGTTGGGTTCGAACCACGGATGTTCCAGTTCGTAATTTGGTGCCCTAACCACAGCTATCACGAGCTCGTTCTCACGCAGGGAATAGCCGAAATGAGATTAGAGAACTTACTAAATAAGCAAAACTCCAGGGAGCCTTAGAGGAAAGCGGAAACGTGCCAATGGTGGAGCATATTGAACAGTGCAGACTAGACAGGTTCACCGTGGCTGTCTTACTTGGGTCATGTGAACTTAGTCATGATTGTATGAACACCAAAGGCTTGCTCAGTTTGCTGACCGAAAACCCTAGCCCCCAATCTACGGGGACTGATTTATCCCTCATTATAGTGGTTGACTGAATAGGTAGGTATATGAATTCAGGGCTCTATTCCTCGTATTGTACACAGTTTGTGATAAAACTGCAGGACTATCGATTCTTTTCAGTAGAAACGAATGAATTGTAATGAGTTTTGTCAGCAGTTGGTGAATACCGTCACGCGAGAATGGATCACGTCTTAACTGACAGATGAAGCGCCTGCGTTACAGCTCCTAGCTAATCAGTTTGAGAGCCTGATTAGCTAATTCATGCTGCAAGCTTAGACGACTTTGAAGTTACCCGACGTGCATTTTAATTGTATGGAACTGGTATTTGATGTCAGCGCAGCCATCCGACGCTCACAAATTGGCTCCGGAGTGACACCCTAACGGCCTCAAACCGCAACTGTGACCTGGAGTCAATAACGACGGTGAGCGTAAAGTCCCTGTGGATAAATTTGACACACAAAAAATCGCCGGATACTCCGAGAATGCGCATACATTCGGGTATTCGTGCCAGGAGTATTGCAGCTAGTACGCGGGAGGATGAAATAGTTGAACAAGCTTGAGCAGCAGTTCACAAACTTCACACCAGTTCCGTCAGATGAATCTATGTGGCTGGTTAACTTGCTTTTCAGTTAGAACACAAGGTTGGCGGAAACTTGGGGACTGAGCCCCAAGAAGGGCAAAACCGGTCGTGGGCTGTGGACCGATTTTCAGCAACCTTATGAGTGGTTTCATTGCGAACTTGCTTTTCTGTTCACAATCCGATCGAGAACCCGTGAAGCTTTGAAATACTGGAAGCAGAGAAGTGTGAAAGTTTGAGTCCAAAACGATGTAGGTGACCGCCACAAAACGAATGTAGATCATCCACCCAAATGTGCACTGATCTCCCAATGATTTGTGACGAAATATTTGCAGGCAGATTCCGAAGCATGGGAAAGACATCAGCGAACACCTGATCTTTAACCAATTAAAGTAATCGAACTATCATTGTTTCGATATATTTAACGTCCGTTCAAAAAGTACCGTGAAGTGATTTTCGAAATCGTCTTGAGGAAATAACGGATTGAACATTAGCAAGCAGGTGAGGTGGAAGTACCCATATAACCGCGCACTGATGATGTCTGCACGAAACGTTTGCAAGCAAGTTGCCAAGATCGATGAGCGGATCAGCAGCTACATGATCTACGATCAGTTGCCTGATAAACTCGGGGAGCCAAGGAGGATTTGATCAGTCAGTTGAGTAAAATAAAGTACGGGGGCTGGTGTTCAACGAAAGATCAAGTCATAGTTATGACTGACTCGGGAACACCAGAACAAACTTATGGGTCAACGAGACAAGCAGACACGGTAACAACTTCGACTATGCTCCCCGATATTGCTCGATAATGACTTGCGGGTCAAACACCCGTATATGACCTATTCATATATTGCTGTGTGAGTGGGATACACTGATACCATCCTTTTTAACGGGAACCGGACCAACGAAGCCATATAAAAATAAGCTTTGTCAAATTAGGGCTTATCAGCCAAAAAATCAACCGATATCCTATACCACTGTGATCGTGTTTTACCGCGCGGCTTCATAGGGTGATCCGAGACATTTTCCCAATCCGGGGATTGCCAGATGTTTTGAGGGGGAAAATGTAAGTCTTCAGTTTTGAGAGCAGCTGATGAAATACTTATTGTTTTTCTGATTTCATATTTGTCTTCAAGATTCTTAGTGTTCTGATTTGGTTGTTCGCTTTCTAAGTAGTCTCTAATGGAAGTTTTGCTCTCGGCGCATGTACCGAGACTACAAGAGGAGTTTCAGTCCATTTATATATTATGTTGA